CAGGACTTTTAAAACTGAGGTCTGCAATTGGGAAGGGATAACTACCCTAGTTCCCCAAAGTAACCAGCCTTGCAAAGAAGACAATTCCTACTGGTGAACTTTGAAGGGCAAGAATTCAGGGGAATAAGGAACTGCAGGCCATCCCCTTCCCACCCAGTCAAGAACTTGGGAGATTACCTTGTCCCTGGCAGAGTGGGCAGCAATATCAAAGGCGGTGATGGGAAGCTTGAGATCGTTGATCAGGAATACAGCATTAGTTGGAGCAGGATCCTCAACTGGAACAGGCAGGGGGCAGCGACTAAGGGTATCAGCTGAGGCTCTTGACTGCTCGATGAACCAGCGTACAGGAATATGCAGCCAGAAACAAAGTCCACCTGGTCATTCTTGGAGACAAAATCTGAGGAGTTTGTCTATCACTAGACAGAAGACCTAACAGAGGCTTATGATCTGTAACTAACTCGAAATGGTGTCCATATAGAAACTCATGGAATTTTTTGACAGAAGCAACTGCAGCTAAAGCCTCTTTGTCAATGTGACTGTAGTTGCGCTCAGCTGGGGAAAACATTCTGGAGAAAAAGGCAATGGGTGCCTCAGAACCATTAGGCAGTCTGTGACTTAAAATGGCTCCTATGCCAAAAGGTGATACATCTGCTACTAAGACTAAAGGCAAATTTTTGTTGAATTGAATTAGAACAGCATCAGATGTAAGCAATGATTTGACCTCATTGAAAGCATAGGCTTCCTTAGGTCCCCAATGTCACGAGGATTGTTTATCCAGGAGTCTATGCAGAGGTTCTGCAATGGAAGCCTCATGTGGCAAAAATGAAGCGTAGAAATTAAGAAGTCCTAAAAAAGCCTGGAGTTTGGTTTTGTTAGTTGGTGTGGGTGCCTCGTGAATAGCCCTTACTTTGGATTCGATTGGTTGAATACCAGAGGCATCAATTCTGTATCCCAAAAATTCGACCTGCGGGGTGGCAATAGTGCATTTCTCTTTTTTTAATTTGAGACCATACTTTCTGAAACAATCGAGGACCCCTTTGACTCTCTGCAGTAACTGAGGCTTGTCAGGGGCAGATATTAAAATGTCATCGAAATAAGGTATTATGCCAGGTAATCCTTGAAGCAGTCTTTCCATTAATGATTGGAAAATTCCTGGGGCCATACTAACACCAAATTGGAGGCGCCTACATTTAAAAGCGCCCCGTGCATTACAATAGGATCCTCAGCAGCTGTGTCATCAACAGGGAACTGTTGATAGGCTTGTGACATGTCTAGTTTCGCAAAAATGGTTCCTGGCTCAAAAGAATGCAGCAGGTGCTGGATAATTGGGACTGGATACGCGCTGATTTGTAAATATTTATTCAATGAGCTCTTGTAATCCTCGCAGATTCTTAAACTGCCATCTTTCTTCAAGGGTGTCACTATTGGGGTTTCCCATTTTGCGAAGTCCACAGGCTCTAATATGCCCTGTGTAATTAATTTGTCTAGTTCCATGTCCAGTTTGGGGTGGATTGCAAAAGGTACCCTTCAAAGCTTTAAATGGATTGAGACTGCTAGAGGGTCCAAGTTGAAAAATATTGGGGTTCCCGAGTAACAACCCAGGCCCTCGCTGAACACGTCAGCATAGTTACTAAACAAGACGTCCACCTCTGAATTTGCAATAGAGTGGATTCCGCCTATATGGAGGCCAAGGGCAGGGAACCAGTCTAACCCCAACAGGCTTGGGAGGGCACCATCCACTACAACTAAAGGCAAGTGACCTTTAAAATTTTGAAATTGAATAAAAAACTTGCCTTTTCTGATGACTAGGATGGTTCTACCTTGGTAGTCATGTAGGGTTAAGTTGCAGTCTTGAAGTCTCTTCTTAGCCATTCTGGAAAACAGTTGTTTCAAGGTGCTCCATGAGATGATGGACAGTGCTGAGCCAGTGTCTACCTCCATCCTGCAAGGTTTCCCTTCTATAGAAACAAAAACACTGATTTTGTTAGAGCCTTTGTTTGTCAGCTTGGCTTGATAGCAGGTGAAACAGTCTTCAATTTGTCTTTGGGAATGCTGAGCTGTCTGAGGTTTCTGTGGTTGCGTAAAAGTCTTTCCTGCCTGACAGATCCTGGCTAAATGACCCTTCCTCTGGCATTTTAGACAAATGGCATTCCTGAACTTGCAGGATGCCCTGAGGTGATTTCCCCCACAGCTTAGACAGATGGGCTGAGACCGTGGAGGTTGATTGGTGGTTGACCTGTTTTCCCCTTGACTGGTTTTGGGTTGCCTGAGGTGATTTACATCACTAGCCTCTTTGGAGCCTTCCTCTGTGGAGGCTTCATTGTAATGGATGGCTGAGCTACTCTGGCTAATTGGATTTCCCTGAATTTCTGCTGCTGAAAGTGCTGACAGCTCAGCAGCTTGAGATTCTTCAATTGCTAATTTAAGGGTTAAATCCCCTTTAGCCAATAGACGCCTTTCTAGCCTTAAATCTCTGACTCTACAAACTAGTTGGTCTAATAACATGTCCTCCAGATAGTCTCTAAACCCACAGTGCAAGGCAGCTGTTCGTAGAGCTGCCATATACCCACTAATAGTTTCTCCCTCAGCCTGGATCCATCTTCTAAAAGCGTGATGCCTGGTAATTTGGGAGGGCTTTGGGGAATAGTGGTTAGAAAGAATTTCCTGCAATTCTTCCCATGGAACAGTCTTAATTGAACGTGGAGCCAACAATGCCGTAGCAGTGTCAAACAGTGTGGCTCCGCAAAAACTTAAAAAGTAAGATTTTTTCCTATGGTCGGAAATATCAGCGAGGTCTATGGCATCTAGGAAACAGTCAAATCGGTTTCTGCAGGACTCCCAGGTTTCTGCTGTTGGTCTGAAAGGCAAGAACACCAGGTTTGAAGTCATCTCGACTCAGCGGTGCCAGTTCTTCTGAGGAAAGTTGAAATTCGCACTCACGAATAGTGACAGAGCTCTTAAAGTGACATACAGCTCAGTAGTGAATTCAGCTTTTTTTATAGTGACTTCGCTCAGCTCTTCTTTTCTCGGTTGCCTCTTATATGTATCCTGCCCTCGTTGCCAGTGTTGTAGACCGGCGGAATAACTGAGGCGAACGTGGAGCAACTTCAGCTGTTAACTTTATAAAGGGTTGCTGCGACTGCCACGCGGCGACAGCTGATGCCGTTTGACAGCTCCCTTTTATAGTCCACTGTCAATGGCATCAACCCATAGGAACGGTATGTGTTCCTGATGGAGACTTTGGCTCAGTCTTTTCTGAACGCAACAAGAAGAAGCCTGAGGTGGAAGCAGATGGAGGGAGACTGTCTGCTACACTGCAAGGAAACTTCAGAAACTCCAACGTGTGAGTGATTGGCCATTACAAGCTGACCGAAGCCGCAGCGAGCACTTTGAATGAGGAAAGAACAATAGTGACAGCAGCATTGACACCAAATCCATTATTAAACGTGACTGTGCAGAGGCGGTGAATGATCCTTAATAAGGAGATAATTGAGAGTTGAGCGGCAGAACTGTGAGTCTCAGAGCAGGGGTGGAAGCCCATTTGAGAAGCAGAGATCCAACGGGGAGAGCACTGGACTTAAGATAGGATGCTAAAGCCAAAGGGATTTGGTTACCTAACAGCGTTGTAGTGGATTTTGAGTACTGGATTGGAGGATTGAAAGATTATGAAAATGGAATTTGTGGTAGATGTTATAAGTGTGGGGAAGATCAGAAGAAAGAAAACACAGTAAAAGAATTGGACTGAGAAATGAGATGACCATGTTGACTCCGAAAGACAGGAAAGAAAGCTGATGCAATAGAGAGTGACAAAGCAAAAAAGACATACTAACAGGAATGCTGTATAAAAACCGCAGAAAGAAAGAGAATTTGAATAATTGCTACTGTTGAATGCTAAATGAATTGATAATTTAGATTAACTAATTATTTATTATTTAAGAGTGTAACATATTATCTAGTCTGGATAGAGAATCAGAAATAATCAGTTGTAAGATATTAACTTATGGTTTAATTAACTAGTTAATTAATTTTGGGAATTAGTTTTGAATAAGAAAGAAATGGTATAGTAAAATGTTAAATGATTAATGAATGTTTAACTTGTTTAGTGTAAGGAATTGATTTATTGTGAATATTGGGATTAATGAATTAAGTATTATTAAGGAATTGAAGAATATTTAAGAATCATAGAAAACTTTTGGAATAACTTTTAGCAATTTAAACAAATAGATACTGAGAAAATTTATTGATTGTGTATATATAAAAATAGTATTAATAGAAATTAATATTGGTGAATAGAGACTAGAGACTGGAGACATCCAATTGAGTAGAGGAAAGAATTTATAGAATTTACAGAATTTAAAGTTAAAACTGTTGAAATAATTTTTAGTTACAGAACATTCCTTTTCCTACATATTATCTTCTTCCCTCTTCTGTACTTAATATTGTTACTATTTGGTTTGTAGTATTAATAGGTTAAAACCTCTGATTACTTGTTATAAAATACATTAAGCCAACAATATATTATAAATATTACATCAGTAATTTGAATTAGTATATACAGAAATATTGAATAAAAACGATAAAGTGGATAGAAGTAAACTGTGGATGGTAAATTGGGAAGAATTATACAATAAAGTAAAAAATATGACTACAACAACAACTTTAAAAGGAAAGAAACCAATTTCAAGCTCATCAGTATCTATCGCATCCCCAGCAGGACAGAAAACAGTAGAGGAGATGTTGGCTGCAGACAAGGCAAGCAATTCCGCGAACATGCAAACAATGCAAGTGATGCTGCTACCCATTCAAGAAATGATGTTTAAAGTACAAGAGAAAATGTCAGCAAATCATATTGACTTGAAGACAGAAATGGGGGAGATGAAAGGCAACATCCAGAAACTTGATGAAAAAATAGAAACGATACAACAAACAATGGAAAGGATGAACAGAAAATTTAAAATATAGAGGCAAAAGCAGAGCAAACTGAAAAGAGAGTGGAAGCAATGGATAGGAAAGTGATTGAAATGAACAGAGATTTGGAGGACTCAATAATTCAATTGGAGATGGAGCGCGCAACGTTCTATTTGCGATTCCAAAATGTGCAAGAAATGAAAGAGGAAGACCTGGGAGCCATAATGGCACAACTGATCGCAGAAGCATTGGAACGAGACCAACAAGAAATTACAAGACAATTGGATGAGGTCCACATGAACTATGAAGGCAAAACAAACTGTCAAGGGAGATTCATGTAAGATTTGCGTGGAAAAATGTGAGAGATATTGTTTACAAAATGACGAAATATGAGCTGATGATCTACAAGGACAAAGAAATTGTGACCCTAAAGCAGATCTCAAGGCGAGTGAGAGAACTATGAAAAGAATACAAATTCTTAGCATCATTTCTAAATAAACAAAGCATCTGGTTTAGATGGTTGGTGCCAGAAGGAATGCTTGTGACCTGGCAAGAGAGGAGAATAACAATTGATACCATCAAGAAGGCACAGGAATTGACTTCCGGTTTGCAGGGCTTCGGCGGCAGGCAGGAATCCGCTATCGTGCGCAGTTTCTGCCTGGGCTCGCCGCTGGAGCACCCCGAGCCAGTTTGGCTTCGGGGCTAAGCCACCCCATAGAGGTGGTGAAGATGGGGGAGATCCCAGCAGGGTCGAGGAAAGCTGCATCTTTCCTCCTCAGCTGGCTAAACTCCCTTTCCCGAAGGCGGTAAGAGCAGCGGTCAGAAATCGCTGCCTCAAAGAAGCACTCAACCAGAAAAGAAAGTGCAGGAGGAAGTTAAGAAGTGAAAGTTTTGGCTGACCGGGATAAGAAGCAACAACTAAGGTATCCTGGAATTTAAATTTTATAAAAGATACATCGCTCCCAAAGAAGATTCGGAAGCAGTGAATGAAAGTGAAAAGGGAACGTGTTTTTTTTCACTCTCCTTCCTTATGTTGACAGCAAAGAGAGATGAATGAGAAATCGGAAAAACCCGCTTTGGCTCCAATAAGTAATTAAACTGGAAATATAATTAAATGCCAAGGGGACAATAAAGATTTCTGAATATTTAAAAATTCTTTTTTTTTGCTATAAGTGGGAAAGGAGAGGAAAACAATAAGAGCAGGATTTGGAAGAAGGAGCCTGCCTGGAATTCAAAAGAATCTAAAGTTAAATCTAAACAAGACTTCTAAAAGATACATTTTAACTGGAACTTTGCAACTAAATAGTAACCCCAGGAAGAGAAAGTGAAAAAAGAAGAAAGTGTTAAAAGAAACAGCTTGTGTGTATTTGGATTGCTTGGTGACTTTGGGACTTCTGGAAATTATATTTGAATAACTAAAAACAATTGGGTGGTTGTTTAAAAAAATTCTACAATGGCATCACTTGTGGATGAACTGAAAATGGAATTTAAAAAATATAAAGAAGAGGAACAAGAAGGGAAGGGCTCTTTTGGCTCCGTTTTTCAATTCTTAGAAATGGCGATCTGTACCTACGAGAAGCTACAAGAAAAGACTGCGCAACAAGAAGATTGGGATAAAGAAGAAGCCATCTTTGATGAACAAGTAACTCTATCTGGGGAAGAAAGGGGAAAGAGGGAAAAGAGAGTGGAGAATTTAAGACCTAAAAAAACAGCCCAAAAAGGGAAAAATAATGTGAAAAGTGGATATAATGTTAGAAAGCAACAGAAGAGGGGAATACAGAAGAGGGAAATGGAGGTGGAGAGACAAGGGGGCAAAAGGGGGAGAGAGAAGCAAGGGAGGAAGGAAGGGAAGAGAAGTTACAAAGGTTTGGAGCAAGATGTAAAGAAACAGGACTTATTCAGAGATAATGGGTGAAAATTTAACTGAAAAAACAATTCTGCAAAGGTACATAAGATTGTATTGTTGTTTTAATTATATTTGTATTAGAAATAATGTTAGAAAATTGGAAACAACATATGATTAAAAAGTGGGATAAAGTAGTCAGTGTAATTCAGTGAAACTTTTGTGAACAAAATAAATGAAATGAAATAAATGAGAGAATTGAATTAGGAAGGAATGGGAACACTTTAATTATTCAATGTTTTATAAAATATAAGTGAAGTGGGGGGGAAGTAACTATGGAAAGTTTATAAGTGTTCCCATAGAAGTATGATACCTATTTGAAAAGAAATGTGTAAAATGTTTAAGAGTTAAATGAATATTAATATTAACGATATAATTGAATTGGTATGGATTGTTGTTTTAATTATATTATATATTTATAATTTTTTGTTTTTTTAAAATACAGTGTGTAATTTTAGAATGTATCAAGCAGAATCTGAACGGAAGTTATGTATTATATTAAGTGTTATAACTTTAGGGGAAAGATATAAAGGCGTCATACTCCAATCAGTGATTACAGGAGAAATTTTGTTTAATGAGAAAAGATAATAGACAGCTGAAACAGGACATACAAAGAATATAAGTATAATGATCTGAATCGTGATGAAATAAATAAAATAAAATTAAGAAAGTTAAAAGAGAGGAGAAACTATATAGAAAATGTAGAATGGTAATGAGATATGGAATGGTATATAAAAATGAGCATGAATTTGAATTTAGAGATGTAACCCGGGATCAAGCTGCTTTCAAAAAAGATGTTTTATGTTTTTATGTTTTATGTTTTGTTTGTTTATGTTTGTTTTTAAAAATCAATAAAATTTCCAAAAAAAAAAAGAAGGCACAGGAATTATATGAACAGCTGGCAGGAACAGAAGAGGAAACAAGCAGTAAGGAAGAATTGGAGAGCAAGAACCAAGAAGACAAACAAGAAGACCAACAACAAGAGGAGTTAGAAGAAGAACAAGAAGGAGATAAAGAAGAGAGAGATCGACCAAGAAGAGAAGGATTGCAAACAAGACCCCAGCGAGAAGCAAGGATCAATAGAAAATTAAGACAGACCTACTATTAATAAGATGGAGGAAGAAATTAATTTCATAAATATTAATGGGTTGAATTCCCTGCCAAGAGAAAGCAAATATTAGCGAAATTAGTGAAACAAGATGTCGACATCCTATGCCTACAAGAAGTACATATCCAAAAAAATCAGAGTATTTGGAATTTCCTAAATTGTATGTAGCACTGGCAGACCAAAAGAAAAGAGGAGTAGCTATGTACATTAGAAAAGGGATAGATGCAAAACAAATTAACGCAGAAGAACAGGGAAGAATTTTGATGGTACAATTGGAGATATTGCAAAAGCAATTACTGTTAGTGGGGATATATGCTCCAAATGTGAATCAAAAAGTGCTTTACCAAAAACTATAGGATAAAATAGTGGAGACAGGACAGGTTAACATATGCTTGGCTGGGGACTGCAACGCTATAGTGTAGGGGTTGCCAACCTTTTGGACCTCAGGGACCACCAAACTCATAATTTTAGATCCCAGGGACCACTAACTGGTTCTGTGGGTGTGGCCTAATTTGTGGGTGTGGCTTGGTGGTCATGTGACTGGCTGGGAATGGCTTGTATGTAAATATTATAAATATTTATATAAATATTGGATTTTTTATTAAAAAAAGAGCAACTTTTACCCAAAATCAGGCAAAGCAGGCAGGCAGATTGAGTTGCTCACAGAATCACAGATTCATTCAGAAATCTATTTATCTGCCATTGGCTAGCTCAGTCTGTCACATAAAATTTGCTAGCAAGCAAACTCACAAAATTAACTCACAACACACCATGCATGTAAATATTGATTTTTTTTATTTAAAAAAGAGCAACTTTTACCCAAAATCAGGCAAAGCAGGCAGATTGAATTGCTCACAGAATCATTTAGTGATCTATCTATCTGCCATCGGCTAGCTCAGTCTCTCAAATTTGCTTGCCGTGAGTCTGCACTGAATTTGCTTGCAAGCAAAACTTCAGTCCTAAGGGAAGTTCGGCTGTACTTAAAAGCAGAGCCAAAGATCTAAAGACTAGCTAGAAAACAAGAAATCCAACTATTTTCTGCTTCCTAGCTAATCTAAATCTCCCGGCAGAGCAGAACAGATGATGGGGTCAGAAAAAGGAAAAATAGAAATTTAGCAGGCAAGTTTGCCTGGTAAGAAGTGAGTGGGTGGGGAGGGTTTCCGTGGGCCATGTGGGCAGTGCAGCCTTGTGTTTCTGCACAGCCTGGATTAATTGCTTTGTGGGGATGCTCTGGGGGTGAGATTTCTCTGCGCCCCACCAAAATTTTCTCATGGCCCACCAGTGAGAAGCATGGAACAAAATAGGAAGAAAAAAAATAATTGCCTACCAAAACCATTTTTTAATTTAGTAAAAGAAATCAACTTGAAGGATATATCGTGGAAAAGATACTCAAATGAAAAAGACTATACTTTCTACTCAAACCCCCACTAATCTTGGTCAGAAATCGATATGGTGTGGACAAACAAGATAATTGGAAATGAAATATATAAAGTAGAAATAATAAATAATCCATTAAAATCATTTGGAAGGGGCAAAGGAAACAGCAAATGAGATGGACGTTAAATACACAAATCCTAAAAGAAAAAGAACATATACAAAAAATTAAAAATGAATTGGAAATATTTTTTAGCACAAATTTAAAGGAACACACTAATTTGCAGAATTTATGGGACACAGCAAAAGCCTATATGAGAGGGGTATCAATAGCCTATCCAATTAGGAAAAATAAGATAGAACGGAAACAACAAAATGAATTACAGAAGAAGATTAAAGAACTAGAAAGTGGACTTCAAAAAAAATGATGAACACTAGACATAAATTAAATTTAACATTCTTAGAAGAAAGAGTGCAGAACATAAAATCTATCAGACAAAACTTATTTGAATCTGCTAACTAGGTAGATAGCTAGCCCATAAATTAAAAGTAGAAAAGGAAAAAAGATTAATCCAACAATTGAAAGATAAAGAACGGAATATTTGTTGTCAGATGAAAGAAAAAAAAACACATTGGGAATTATACTACCAAGCAGCAATATTAAATTGGGTTAAGGATTGGGTCAAATTAAGTGTTAAAAGAATATTAACAATAGAAGTCATGACCTCCGTGAAGGTTGGCATGCATATTTGTGGGAGAAAAAGGGAAAAACAGGCATTTATTAAGAGATTCATTATTACAAACATGGAGAAAAATCAAAAACAAACATTATGTGAGAATACCATGCTAGTTGTCTCCCATGGAGGCCCGAACAGACTAGATTTAGGCAAAATGATAAAGTATAATGATTTATTAGATGCCCAAGGAAAACTAAAATCAAATCAGGAGCTAA